GAAGAGCGATTCGATCCGGGCAACTCGATCGACTTTTGGCAATACGAAACCGGTGACCCAATTTCCTCGGATAAAACTACTCTCGGATAGCGTGTTCGACGTTTCGACGCCCTTTACACGCCTTCGGATCCCGACGAAAGCCGCGCAATCGATAATTGCAAATTAGCCGGTCGGATTGCCGGTGGAAAGGCAGGAAAACAAAACCGCCAACTTTTCGTACGGCTCGGAGATAAAATTCGCCTATTGTTCGGAAATCCTGTCGCGCGTTTTTCTCCCTCGACCTTTCATTTTCCCGGGTCGAGAAAGGCAGGAAAAAACGGAGAACGGAGAGAACGCGGTCGGATAAACGATTGACGAAAATAACGAGAAATCGAAGTGCAGCGGTGCGCGGAGTCGACACGGCGCGGCCGGTCGGAAAACGCGTTAGCGACACGATTGCCGATTTTCTTGCGCATCGAAGAAGCTTCCATGGAATACCTCGTTTTAACGCGATTGTTCGTTTTCGTAAACAACGTAATAGAAATTATCGATCGGCCCATACGGAACGGACGCCGCAAAGTTTTTATCGAGTTAGCTTTTGTTCGCAGGAAAAGCCGAACATCGTGCGGCATCGTTGGCGGATCGAGCGATGCAACAGCCTTCGGTTAAAATGTACGCTTTTAATGTTTAAAACCCGCGATCGATCGTGTACGGCAGCCAATTCATCGCTCGATCAAAGACACGTTTCAGCAAAAGAGTCCGCGCGCGCGAGATCTTCGTCGAGCGGTTGGTGGGGAAAAAAGAAAAAAAAAGGAAAAAAGAAAAAAAAATAGAGAGAGAGAGCCTTTTGCAAGCGGATGTATCAAAGTAGAAGCGACTGGTATCGGTTTTTCTCTGCAGGGAAAGTTTCCTCCGGAGTGACTCGCGTCGGATTATCGATTCGCGTTTACCTCGACGATTCGCGACTTCCGATACCGAGAGACTAATTTACGCGGATTTAGGTCGCGCGATGGATGCGTAACGACGATCGATTCGCGGCATCCGATCGTCCGGTGCGGAGAGAACGACACACAAGGCTAGACGTAATCGGCGTCGTTCGTAGACGCGATCGGCGCGTGATCGTCGCGACTTTGCCGGAATATTTCGCGTGTCCCGCCTTCGTCTGCCGCCGGAATTATTGATTCTGGCACCAAACCCGTATCCCGATGGTCTTCAATTTCCTTTTCCGAGTGAAGGACGAAAACGTTCTCGGAGATCCATTGGCAGGCCCGAGCAGACTCGTCGACGCCTCGGCATTAACGATACTCCTTATTTTCCCGTCTTTTCTAGCCATCCTTGAGATGCATCGCGTTCCCGACGTTTTACCACCGGTTGCCTTCGAGAGACGTACGAGAGCTTACAACGAATTACCGTGACACCGATGGAACGGCCAGTCACAGTCGACGAATACTCCATTCGTCTCTTTCGGAACGAGCCACATCGTCGATCGAGCCCGAACGTGCGCTTTAAGTCGGTCACGCTTCGCACGGGTTAAAGAAACGTCAAAGCACCGGTGCACCGATGCATCTCCGAAAACGACCACCGATCTCTACGAGATCTCTACGAGGTCGTTTCGCCCTTCACACGCCGGTCTCTCATCTCGGAATAGTCACCTCATATCGTTGCAGCGAGTTCGACGAGTCACTGACTAGCGTAGAGTTTCGTCTTCCTCGATCGGCACTCACATGAGGAAACGAAATATCGCTCGCGTTGTCGTGGTCGTCGGCGTCGTGGTCGTTGTCGTCGTGGTGATCGTCGTGACGGTGGTGGTGGTGGTGGTGGTGGTGGCGGTGTTGGTGGTGGTGGTGGTGGTAGTGGTGGTAGTGGTGGTGGTGGTGGTCGTCGTCGTGGTAGTGATCGATGAGATAACGGGAGCACAGATCGAAGGATCGCGATCTCGATCGTGATCGTATCCGACAGAAACGCACCGTTCGAGATGAGGAAAATGTCACGCGACGCGAGCAACGGTTGTCTGTTGGAAGGGAACGCGCGAACGAACACACGCGAGAACGTACGCTTTGCGACTGAGTTTGATATCCTCCTCGAGGATAGCCCGCGGAGGAGAGCTCTACCCCCACTCGGCTGGTTAGGAACGGCATCGACGGACGGACGAAGGGTGCACGGGCGAAGGAGGGTGTACCTCTCGGTGTCTATAAAGCGACATAACGGGAGTGCGCGTGCGTCCGGCGATCGTGTGCACGCTTTACCCGCAAAGTGGCAACCGGTGGCACCGGTGCCACCGGTGCCACCGGCCGCCTCGACGTCTATTTACGCAGACGATGCACCGTGTCACGCTGATCGGACCGGCCGGGGCCGGGGCTCAGGCCGCGCCGCGCGAACCACTTGCACACACCACTTGCACACACCACGCTGCGTCCTCGAGGACGATACACCCCGAGCGCGCAACCCTCTCGCTAACGACCCTCGCTCCTCTCCTTCCATCATGCCTCGCTACCGTACTCCTCTTTTTTTATTTTTTATTTTTTATCTCTCGCTCATCGATTCGCGCTTTTCCATCGGGGCTACCAAATATTTTTTCCCCCGTTCGCGTCATCCGTTGTCGCGAAACGCGCCTATCCTCCTCGGCCGTCGTCTCGACCGTCGCTTCATCGGGACCATTTACGGTTTAACGCGCGCGAGTAAACTTGGTTTCGTTTCGCGCATTAGCCACCGTTGGAACGCACCGTTCCGAATATATTGTTAAACTTCCCGCTGATTACGTTACCAGACGACGGATGTGTTTAAGCGCGCGTTGCGACGCGGCCTAAGTTGGATTTAGATTAAACTCGGGATCGTGTGTATACTTGCAACGAGTGAACGCGATAACGATGTAGCGCACTGCGCATTTGCAGGTGTACCGTGGAAACTCGATCTGACTTTAATCGATGCACGCGTACGCCGAACGAATCCGTATCCGCGCGAGCGACGGTGGTGCCGGACGATGTCGCAGCCACTGAAAATTCCAATTCCGCTTCGACGAGCTCGCGTTTTTGCTCGGAAAATCTCGAAGGGGAGGCGTAAAGTATTCGGTAAATATACCGGGTACTCGGAGGAACGTGTGATACGTGTGCCTGTAGGGATATCGTTGCGCAACGACCAAGAGCTCGCGCTAAAGCTGATGGAAGAACCGAGCATGAATATCGGCACGTTTCGAGGTACAAAACCGCGACACGCGGCGAGCCAACGAATTAATCGTCGCGGCAAACGGGCCATTCGATAAACAAGAAACACGATGTAGAACAGCACTCTAAGCTCCCCGGAGTCTGGGACGGGAAAATTTAAGGTAACGTTAGCTCGCAAATTTAAGGCGACCGCATCGGCGTCTCGCTAACCATCCCCGTGTCGGTGTGTATTTATGGGAAGGATGCACCGTCACGTTAATCGGACCATACCGCGAGTCGATACACACCGGAGGCAGAGGCGGAGGCAGAGGCGGAGGCAGAGGCGGAGACGAAGCCAGTCTTTGCTCGCCAAGCAATGCGTTAGCCGCGGTTAATGTTTTCCGTCCAGTTTTCCCGACAATCCAAGTACCTAGCCTTTTTCTACTCGTCTGCCGTACGAGTTCGATCGATGCGAATTCGTCGATATTCCCGGCTAACGAAGTCGGTATGCTCGGTTAACATGGACGCCGACGCGAAGAATCGGAGATCGTTAACGGGGGCAGGTCGCGAGAACGAACGAACGAAATTTTCCCGGAAAAATGATATCCCGATGCTTCCGTTAATTCCAGCCGCGTGGAGCGCGATGACGTTAATTTGCGGGCGATAGGCTTGTTAACGGGTGCAATTTAACTTATTTAATATAACGCAACAGTGAGATATTGCATTCCAGCGCGCGCTGCTTGAACGTGGGTGGAACATTCCGTTGGTATTGATTCGCTATAATTCCAGAACATCTCGGGAAACTAGCAAGCCGGTATGGAAAACGTACGAGGTAACGATATGTTCCGTGTAAAATTATCGTCCGCGATAAAGGCGCGTATGCGCGATATCGCTCGCGCGATCGCCGATTTCGCCCGCCAACCGTCTCGAGCGAGAAACCGAGCTATCGCGCGTTCGCCGTTTCCTTTGCACACCATTCGGAACACCTTTTATTCCGTTCTAAACCGTTTCACCTTAAATTTCGTAGGAAATTAATTAAATAGGTCGATTGCGCGGAGCAATCGACTAGACAAGCTATTATAGTAATTTGCAGATCGCGCTCCTCTTTTCGCCCGTTATCGACCAAACGATGGAAATGCGATCGCAAATGTTGTCTGACACGCGTGCATAAATCACTTTACTTATCGACATTCGATAACCGATCGATAAACCGGTACACGCGGACGTGTACGCCTAGTACGAAATAAACGCAGCGATTAAAAGATATTTATATACTTTTACGGGTATATCGGAGACCAATTACGCGATGTTTTCGTTCGTCGAGATTCGAGGTTTCTTAGTCGCGCGAACGACACGCAAGGGAATAAATAAATGCTTTTCCGCGTAAAATCGAAAGGTGGACGCGTAATTAAGACACAGGGAGAGCGATTGGGAACGAAACGATTTATCGAGGTGCGACATCGGATTAATAAATCATCTCGCAGCGACGAGATAGGCGTATTTAGTTAATCGACAACGCGGCGTGGCGGCACACGGTCAGGCTCGTTTTCATCGAGCAACGAAAATTCTTCGATCCGCGTCGCAGTCGAAAATCGTTTGTTGCCGTTCGAATCCAATTCGGTGCTCCGGAATTCGGCCAATTTTTACAGTCACGCCTGTAATCTAATTTCACCACACGTACGCGATTTATATCGGTTCTAGAGTTAGAGAGTTCATGGTTTCGAATCAGGCAAGCACAAACGGATGTAGGTTATCCCGGACCGATCGAATTTCTTTTGCACGGCCTATTCGACGCCATGCTAAAACCGTACAGGCAAAATTCTCTCTCTCTCTCTCTCTCTCTCTCTCTCCCCCTCTCTTTCCATGTGCACTTACATTTTCTTCTTCTTCCTCGGCGTCATAAATCGAAAACCACGCGCCGCGTTACATATGTATGCCATTTGCAACGATCTCGCACCGAGAATGACTGCCTAGAGTGCAAAATGTATCCATTTCGTCTCATTGTCATGCACGTGGACGCTAATAATAGTCGTAACTACCGTTGGCAGAAAGACCCTAGCCCGTGATTCCGCTCGGTATACCCACGAACGAGCTTTTAATAAATGATCAGCCATCGTCTTGGCTGCGCGAGCCAACAGACGGACGGAACAACGAGGAATTCGCGTGCTTTATCGCGACCTTGCGAAGCAACCGGTTCGCGACATCCCCGCTGCTCGCTTATCTCCTCCAAACGACCCCGGTTAGCAAATAGCCCAACCCTAACGGCCGTGATACGAAATAGGATTAGCAAAAAACCGCGATCGATCCGACATCGATTCGCCAAGGTTCCGCTTGGTTCGTTCTCCTCCGATCGGGATTTACTACCATCCAGTAGAAATCGTTACCTCAGCGTCACGAAATGTCGTCGGAAACGAGCAAGAAGCCCTATGAGCTTCCGAGCTGGTGGCGTTGCCGCAAAAACGGCCAACAGAAGCGACAAAAAGCGGAAAAAGCCGAGTAGCTCGCTAATGGCCAGACAACGGTCGCGTTCCACGCGAAATCGAGTCAAGGAAGTTTCGCTCAGGGTTTCGCAGTTTCCCCTATCTATACCTTTCGCGACTTTGACTTTTGCGAAAAATACAGCGACCGCGAGGGCGACTCTATTCTCTAATCGCGAAAACGCTCAAACTGTCGGAATAACGACGAATTTCCGCTAGAGTATCCCGCAGCCCACCGATCACCGACCGATTCTTCGGGTTGGATTTACGATCCTCCGCGATTAAGTTTTTATCGGCCGTGCATTTTCGCGATGGCGAGCGAGCAGGATAGCCCCGCTTATCAAGCTTCCAGCCAATAACGCCGCGCTCGATCCGACAAAACCTTTCTACTCGTTGCGTTCAAAACGTCCCTGCCCTGTTTGCGTGTACGGTAAAAGGCTTATCTGCTCGTTCGATGACTAAACGCACTTATAAACTGCAAAAGCGCGCTATGAAAAATCAAAGGGACGAATAGTATATCGGCGAGGGTCCCCCGGGGGTGGAACTTTTGTTGTTAGCCACGGGCTGGACCTATCGCGCGCGATTCCCATCGATCGGACATCGTTTTATTCCGTCATCGTCTTCCTGCGGATTAATTCGAGCGTCGAAATCGACGATTTATTCGCTGTCCGAGTTTTTCGCGGGGTTGAGAGCGTACGACGCGCCAGAGATAAATGGAACGCGCTAATTCTTACCCGACGAACGACGCCATGCGATCTAAAAGACACGACGACCACGACCTCGAGGAACGAATCGCGATCGCGTGGAATCGTTGAAACGCGAGGGCGTTGTTTCGGACCTTCCGCGGCAACGTTACGACGCGAAAGGAAGCCAGGTTGTCGTTACTTTTCTAAACAACGCTGCAACCGTGTTTCTTATTGTATATCGCGAATGTGCAAGTTGGCTGCAGCGGGTCGCAACAGGTGCACTCGATTCGCGACCCTTTACGACCTGACTGCTGCTGCTGCTGCTGCTGCTACTGCTGCTGCAGGTATACACGGAGAATGCGAGTTGCAAAAGACCGAAAACTACGACGGAAGATCTCGTGAAAAGCACATGGGTGTTTTTTCTGTCGGTTGATGCACGTGCCTACAGCATCCTCTCCCCGGTCTGTTCTTTTCACGGTATTTATTTT